TTATAGGGTTCCTTCGGGTTTAGGGTGTATAGGGTTCCTTTAAAGGGGTTGCCTTGGAGTTTTAGGGTTTATAGGGTTCCTTCGGGTTTAGGGTGTATAGGGTTCCTTTCAAGGAGTTCCCTCAGGGTTTTAGGGTTTGTAGGGCTCCTTAGGGTTTAGGGTTCATAGGGTTCCTTTAAAGGGGTTCCTCAGGGTTTTAGGGTTTATCCTCAGCGTTTTTGGGTTTACCGGGTTCCTTAGGGTTTAGGGTTTTAGGGTTTCTAGGGTTCCTTAGGGTTTAGAGGGTTCCTTCAAAGGGGTTCCCTTGGGGTTTATGGTTTATGGGGTTCCTTAGGGTTTAGGGCTCGTTCCTTAGGGCATAGGGTTTATAGGGTTCCTTTAATAAAAGGGCTAAACAGTAGGGTTCCTTTAACGGGGTTCCTCAGGGTTTAGGGTTTATAGGGTTTGTTAGGGTTTAAGGTTCATGGGGTTCCTGTAAAGGGGTTCCCTTAGGGCGTTGGGTTTATAGGGTTCCGAGTTCCTTGAATAGAAGGGCTAAGCAGTAGGGTTCCTTTAAAGGGGTTCCCTTAGGGCTTAGGGTTTATAGGGGTCCTTGAATAGAAGTGCTAACAGCAGGGTTCCTTTACAGGGGTTCCCTTAGGGCTTAGGGTTTATAGGGTTCCTTTAATAAAAGGGCTAAACAGTAGGGTTCCTTTAAAGGGGTTCCTTTAAGGTTTAGGGTTTATAGGGTTCCGCTGAAAAAGGGACAAAACACTTTTTAGGGTTTAGGGTAGGGTTCCTTTAAAGGGCTATGTACTTTTTAGGTGTATCTCTTTGGGTTTAGGGTTCAGGGCAATTATAGGGTTCCTTGAAAGGGGGTTCCTTAAAGGGCTGTTTGCCCTAATTGAGGAGTACGTTTAGCGCTTAAGGTGTAGGGTTTAGGAATTATAAGCTTTACGTAGTGTTATAGGGTTTGAGGTTTTGTTCGTGGGTTTTGGGTCTAAGGGTTTGGGTTCATAAGGTTTAAGGTTTCAGGTTTAGGTACGAAATCAGCCTGAAAAGTGGGCTCTATGCCATGTACCCTTGCACCATGACTCCCCACACGGGTAGTTCTCTAAATTAGGGTCCCTTTTTGGGTCCCAAATATAGTACGGCCCCTTTATAAAAGGACCCTAAAGGGGACCCCAGTTTAGAGAACTACCCATATGATAATTGAACCATGATGACCCTAAACCCTAAACCCTAAACCCTAAACCTTAAACCCTAAACCCTAAACCCTAAACCCTCATGATAATAGGGTTTAGGGGCCTTCGGGGCCTTAGGCCATTTTCGGACATATGTCGCTCCTATGGAAAATGGCACGGCCCCCGGGAACACCCTGAAACTGTAGATCTTCTAAACCATCTCCGAATCCGTTGTCCGGGAAATGCACGTCAGGGTTGAGGGTTTAGGGTCGTGGGTTGTTTTAAGGAATGTAGAGGGATGTCGTACCTGGTTCTATGATAGGTTTTATGTGGGTTCTGCAACGGTTGCTGTGATATTTTCTGGGTTACTCCTAAACCCTAAACCCTACACCCTAAAGCCCTAAAGCCTAAACACCTAAACCCTGAACTTAACCCTAAACCCTAAACCCTAACCCTATACCCTAAACCCTAAACCCTAAACCCTTACTCCTTATTAAGGTTTTGTCCCACAGCATTACAACCGACTGGCCAACGAAGGCATCAGCTCTGTAGCCAGGGCCGCGCAGTGGCAGAGGGCGCTGCAGCTGCTGGGCACAGAAAAGGGCAGTGGTTCTGTGAGGGTTTAGGGGTTTGGGGCTCCTGGTTTAGGGTTTGGGTTTAGGGTTTCTGTAAGGGTTTAGGGGTTTAGGGGTTTAGGGGTTTAGGGTAGACATCTATGAGTAGGGCGTTTTCGTTCAAGGATAGACGACTTCTGAGTTTAGGGTTGAACAAGTTTAGGATTAGCGATTTGTCGGCTTAGGCTTTAGGGGTTTAGGGTTTAGGGGTTTAGGGTTTAGGCGTTCAGGGTTTACTTCGAGGGTCGGGAGACTTAGTAAGTAGGTACTAAGTAGACTTATAAGTATCCTAAAAGGGGCCCTAATAATACTTATAAGTCTACAAAATAG